GAACTGAGGTAGCCCGGAACCATATGATAATTTGATAATTCTTACTTTTCCATTCGTCAAGACGGTTATCGAATGCAAAGTCCGTCCCTTCCTCCTTCTGGGTGGGTTTGGAAAGAGCACCGGCAATGATCTGCCAAACTTGTTTTCCTTTGATGAAACTGGAGAGAGTTTGAGCCCAGCTAACATAATTGGACCCATCAAGGATAACAGAAACAGATTGGATGTTCTCTGTACGATCCATAAATGCCAAAATGAAGGTCACCAACAGATTCAGAACGCTGAAAAACCTTAGGGACAGGTAGGGCTGATGTCAGCATTGTGGCGGTGATGATGTCAGTAGCGAGGCAGTGATGGAGTAGGGCTGATGTCAACGACTGATGAACAGGAGAAGCAGCTGAGGCAGAAGCCAACCGGAAGCCAAGTAGGGTTGGCTAATACGGAAGCCAAGTTCGGCTAAGGCAGAAGCTGACGGAAGATCGGCTGAGGCGCTAGGACAGAAGCCAATGGCAGCTGATGCGGAAGCCGATGACAAGCCGACGTCGGAGCGGCTAAGGCGCGGGTGCGGAAGGGCGGCTGATGCGGAAGCTGATGGGCAAGCCGGGGAAGCCGAAGGAGACGACGCGTGCGAGAGCGTGCTGAGAGTGGATGCGGCGTCAACCGACGCGCTGGGCTTTGAGAGGCGCGTGAGGCCGCGTTCAGAGGCCAATGAAAGCGAATCTGATGGCGTTGGCTTTTTCGTGAAGAGACGAAGAGGTGAGTATAGTCCAAATAGTAAAACTGGAATGAACTAGATACGCAAAAACCAATAGAAATTGACGGAAGATAGAAGCAATCTGCCAAAAAAACGTGAGGAAAAAAAATGTTAGGAGAGAATCCTAGGCTCTGATACCATGTTATGAAAGTAGAGAGACTGTATATTGAATTGTGTTGAACGTAATACAAGAAACCTATATTTATAGGCTGAGGAAAGAAGATAGAAATACATCAGAGATAAGTATAGAAAAAGAGATGAGATACATCTATAATACAGATAGATAAATATGAAATAATAATATATATCTCTAACACGTTACAATGGATTGAGAGATTTAATGGAATTGCATGATGAAGGTACTTTAGAGCTTTTCTTAATTGTTTGCTGGTGCATTTGGTTCGATCAGAACTGTCTCATACCTAACCAAGTCCACCGGAAAGCTCTTGAGATTGCAAGTTTTGCAAGTGAATATTTGAATGAGTACATACAGGTGATCCACAATGCTGCTGTCCTTCAGCACAATCGTTGTCATTGTCGCTGGTGTCTTATTGCGGAGAGTGTCTACAAAGTCAAATTCGATGGGTCGGTGAAATCTAAGCTTAAGGCAGTTGGAATTGGGGTTATTGTCCGAGATTTTCAAGGCAATGTGGTGGTTGTGATGTCAAAGTCAATCCAATTTTGGGATGATGTTGATTGTGTGGAATCAACGAGGGCCTTACGGGCTGTGAAGTTTGCAAAGGATTCGAGCATTACTAATATTCACTTGGGAGGGAGATTCACCCAATGTGATAAAGGCAATTCAAGACCCAAGGATGGCTTTGTCTCGGATTGGCCACTTAGCACAAGTTGTTCATGGTTCTCTGATTGTGTTTCAGTCTTTGGTGGTTAGTCATGTGTTTAGGGAAGGCAATTCAGTAGCTCATTGTTTGAGCTGACTAGCTTTTGACAATGTTGGTTTGCGAACTTAGATGGAAGATGTTCCGCCCGAAATTGCTCTTTTGATTTTGGCTGAAGCCTTGTATTCTTAATGGAATCCTTCACCTTTCTTAAAAAAAAAAAAAAAGAGTCAAGTGCTAATATGATCATTATAGATACAAAATTCATTGTTGTTTTCATTTATATTTTTATATATTTGAGACATTAGTTTATTATCATTCAAGTCTTGGCCAATTATATATGTTTTAATTTGTGGCTGTTTATTCCCCCTCTAAATTTAAAATGTAGAACAATTCTCATTATGCATATGAAACTAGAATTGTAAATAATTAAGTCAAAAGCTGAATTTTGCAGGTTTAAGTTTGACACGTTGGTTTATTAATTTGAAAATTTTTATTGAGCTCGGCTCAATAACTAAGGTCTATGTTGACAATTAGAAGAAAAAAAATTAACTTATTAGTTTATTGATTTATTTGAATTACTTTATATCTTTATTTTTTATACTTTTTTTCAAAATAAAAATAAGGTAAATTACAAACACACTCCTTAAGGTTTACTTAAATTATAAATTACTCTTATAGTTCTAAAAATTACATTATGCCCCTTAAGGTTTTTAATTTCATAACAAATAGGTCATTTTATTAATAAATCATCAAGTTAATTAACAGTTTTTAATAATGTTAAAATTTTATTTCAATTAATAATTCAGATAATTTCATTATTGTATAGGTGAACAGTTAGAAATTTTATTTTTTCAATTAATTCTGTTAAATAAAAAATTCTGACAGGGATGTATTTGTAATTTTCCAAACCACAAGGAGCAATTCGTAATTTAAGCATACCTCAGGGGGTGTATTTGTAATTTACCCTAAGAAATAAAAATTAAGGTAGCGTTTGGTAACGTTTACGTTTTTTTTTGTTTATGTTTACAAAAATTTTATAAACTGATTTTTGTTTATTTTTAGAAAAACATAAATTACAAACGTGTTTGGTTCGGACGGAATGTTTGAAAATTTTAAAAACATAAACTAAAAAACATATTTGTCAAGGCCTAAAATATTTATATTTATTTTTTATTATTTATGGCAATGGGATCCTACACATTATAATAAGCATCTATAATAATCATATTGATATAATACTAGCCATAGATAAATTTAAAAATATAAAAATTGCTACCTCGGCTGCCCTCTGCAATAATAACAAACCCTAGCCACCGTTGGGCGCCCTCTGCAAAACCGAAGAGAATACAAAGAGGGCTAGGGTTGATCGCGAAGAGAGAGAAAGAGGCTTGTCGTTGAGAGAAAGAGAGTGAGGGCCTGTCGTTGAGAGACAGAAAAAGAAAGAGAAAAACACGGAAACTTGATCGCGTTGCGATAATTAGGGTTTCGCATCACGATGATTTCAAATTGCTAGAGTTTAATAGCATAGCTGAAGAACAATGCCGGAGAGAGAGAGCTTTCTGGTTTATAAAGGCGGATGGAGGGTGAGAGAGAGAGTTGTAGTTCACAATGTCGGAGGAAGGGAGAGAGGGAGAGAGAGAGAGCACTCTAATTCACAATGTTGGAATTCACCGATCGCCACGTCGAAAATCACCTTTCTCATGCTGGAAATCGCCACTCTCTTTCTCTTTCTCTCTCTCAGAGTGAACAGTGACCTTTGTGGTTTATATAGTAGCAATTTGGTAATACTTCAAATTGATGAAGGGCATTATCGTAGCTCCATGTTTTTGGCTTCCGTTTTGTGTTTAAAATCCAATGTAAACTCATTTTTTGAGTTTACAATTTTTTTATCAAATTTACAAATTAGGACCAATTATTTATAAATAAAAAAATTTACTAAACAAGTTTTTATGATAATTTTTAAAACTTTTATAAATATAAATTGAAAACTGAAAATAAAATAGTTATCAAACAAGCCCTCAAATTAATAAACTAGTTTTTTCCCTTAATTTCTAAAACAAGCCCAAATAGGAATTGGGGTCACTGCTGTGCTAAATGCACAGTAGTGATTGTTGTACCTTAATTTGAGGTATATTATGGACTTATTTTTATGATCTGAACCATCATTTTGTAAGATTTGTTGAGTACTTCATGTTTACCAAAAATCATATTAATTGGATATCAATAAGCATATGATCGAATTGCATATTTTTTATGCTATTTCTTAAAAGAAAAACTTATTATTTATTTTTTTGATTACCAATAATATATTTATTGATATCCGATTAATATGATTTTTGGTAAGCATGAAGTACTTAATAAACCCTACAAAATGAACGATTCAGATCATAAAAATAAATCCATAATATACTTCAAATTAAAACACAACGAAGGCCCCCTATTCCGCCCAAATAAGTTCGTATTGGTCTCATTGATGTTAGTCAAATTCAAGCTTGACTTGGAGCATTAATTTTTATTTTTAGATTCATTTATATAAGACGAATTTAAGAAGTAAAAACTCTTTCACATAATTTTTTAAAGGGTTAATTACACTAATAGTCCCTATAGTTTGGGACTTGTGTCACATTGGTTCCTGACTTTTTAATCGTGACACATTTGATCCTGAATTTTAAATTTTGTTTCAAATAAGGACAATTGAAAATATCATAAGATTTTTCAAGGGTAAAATCGTCAATTTGATAAAATATAAACTAATTTGACAAAAATAAATATCAAAAAAATATTTTGAATTTTTTTAAAATTATTTTTATCCACCAATGATAAAATTATGTAAAATTAATTTTACATGATTATCATCCAAACACATAATAAAAATTAATTTGGTAAAAAAAAAATAAATGTCTAAAAGATTTGTCAATTTTACATAATTTTATTTTTAGTAGGTAGAAATAATTTTTAAAATTTAAAAATATTTGTTTGACATTTATTTTTATCAAATTAGTTTATATTTTATCAAATTGACAATTTTACCCTTGAAAAATCTAATTATATATTCAATTGTCCTTATTTAGAATAAGATTCAAAATTCATGGTCAAATGTGTCACAATTGAAAAGTTAGGAAGCAAAGTGACACAAACCTCAAATTATAGGGATTAATTGTGTAATTTCTCCTTTTTTAAAAATTACTTAAAACTACTTTAAAAAAAAAGGGGGGGGGGAAACAAAAAAAAAAATAGCTGTACGACACATTAGCCCTAATTGGAAATAAAAACGTGCAAGGCCGGCCGCCAAATGAAACAGGGTTGGGCCAAGAGACCGATCACCGAACCGAACGGAAAAGCGCCGGTCTCAGTACCATACCAGCGGTGCCCTAGTAATTATTGCTGAAGAAAAAAAGTGAAGAAGAATGTCGGTTCTGATAGTTACGAGCGTAGGAGATATCATTATGGACTTGCATACCGATCTCTGTCCCTTCACCACCAAGAACTTCTTGAAGCTTTGCAAGTAAGTTTAATCAAAGTGTACGGGCACGAAATATTCTTCCCGTATAATCCTGCTGATCAAGTCTGCGCTCCTCCGTACGACGTCGCTTTATTCCCTGAAAACGCAAACGTGAGCTAGCCGGCGGGTGTGTGCCGGATACCTCTCCGATGCCTAAGTCAGCAACTAGACAATAGACAATAAGCTCTATGTATTCTAGAGTAAGAATTGGGATATCTGTACAAAGGTCTGGTCATGAGCTTTTATAGACTTTACTTTGGCACAATCCTAGTAGGATTCCAACTCTCCCTATGAGAGTCCTCCTAGAAATCACACACCCTACTCACTACCAACCAAGTGAGATGGTTTTGCACAATCCTAGTAGGACTATACTCTCCTTAGCAGAGTCCTCCTAGGAGTCATACTCCTACTCACTACCAACCAAGTGAGATGGTTTTGCACAATCCTAGTAGGACTATACTCTCCTTAGCAGAGTCCTCCTAGGAGTCATACTCCTACTCACTACCAACCAAGTGAGATGGTTTTGCACAATCCTAGTAGACTCTAACTCGCCTTAGCATAGTCCTACTAAGAGTCTCATCACTGCAAGCCAAGTGAGATGGCTGAACCCTTTACCTCGGTTATACATTTCTAACCGAACTGCCTTATCTCGGTCCCCTTGCCGAGCTATGCACAGCTCGGCCCTTGTCATTGATGCTACCTCCTTTTAATAAGTTGCTGCAACCACACCGAGCTAAGTTACCTCGGTCACACGCTTAAGTAATGATGTAGATGGTGCCCAGCCGAGTTATACCAAGACCGGCCGAGCTATACCAAGCCCGACATCCTTTCTCACCAATAACTCGGCTAACCACCAGGCCCACGTATTTCGGCTGACATCTTTACCTCGGCTAACATTGCGGTCAGCCAAGTTACTTCGGCTATGTGATACTTTAAGCACTACTACCAGTCTTGACTTCGAGACGACGCCCTGCAGAGCTATCGTTTAGCTCGGTCCTCTTTCTACCGATACCTCGGTCCATAGTTCGGCTCGAACCCAAAATATGAGATGTCTTCTTGGCCTAAGACCGAGCTACACCAGCCCTTATCTTGGCCCATTACGCGGTCCAACTTCCAAAGAAGACTCTTCCTAGCTCGGTCCAATTTATTTACAAATTACCCTCTCAATTGCCCCTTAATTCCATCTGCGTAGCATGATTGGGATTATTTTTCCTCCAGCCGAGCTAAGAAGTTGTTCGGTTTCACGGCTTGTTCGGTCCCAATAAGCCTTGTCAGTTGCTTAGCATGTCCTTCCACTAATCTGGTACGACATTATTCCCAGGATATATGGCGTGCCCCCAATATCCTTGTTCTCCTTGTTACCATCGTCATGCCAAAAATTTGAATAGCGTTGATTTTTTGCCTTTAACATATATATTCTTCGAGTTTGTATACGTCGAGTCGTTCTTTCTGTGTCTTGCCGAACAGACTAACTCGGTTTATACGAACCTTGCCAACTTGTTTTGGCCGAGGTAACAATCATCCCAGTCAAAGAGTTCCAAAAATTTGTTGGTCAAACCTGCCAACCTGCTTTGGCCGAGATAACCATCATCCCGGCCAAAGAGTTTCAAAAATTTTGTTGGACATACCTGCCAACTTCCTGCAGCCTAGATCCTTATCTCAACTTAGGAGAAGTAAGTGTTGGTTTTTCTAGCCAATCTCTTCAGTTCAGATCCTTATTTTGGCTGAAGAGAGCTCAGTGTTGGTTATTCCGGCCAACTCTGAGTGAAGTGTTTGGTCATTCTTGCCAAACGTCCTGTACTTTGGATCCTTATCCTAAGCTTAGGAGAAGTGTTGGTTTTTCCAGCCAACCTCTAAGTTGGTTATTCCGGCCAACCTAGAGTAAAGTGTTTGGTTATTCCGACCAAACGTCCTGCAGCCTGGATCCTTATCCTGGGCTTCGTAGGGGTGTTGGTTTTTCCAGCCAACCTCTAAGTTGGTTATTCTGGCCAACCTAGAGTAAAGTGTTTGGTTATTCCGACCAAACGTCCTGCAGCCTGGATCCTTATCCTGGGCTTAGGAGACTAAATGTTGGTTATTCCGGCCAACATAGAGCTAAGCGTTTGGTTATTCCTGCCAAACTTCTTGATTGCCCCCCAAGTCGGGTAAAGACTTGTTTGTCAAACCTGCCAACTTCCTGCAGCCTAGATCCTTATCCTGGCTTGAAGAAGAGCTAAATGCTTGGCCATTCTTGCCAAGCTTCTTGGTTGCCCCCCAGTCAGGAAAAGACTTTTGCGCTTGGTTAGTCCTTCTTTCCAACCATGCTAACTTTTGCCGAAGGTGTTCTGTCCGATATCACTGTTTGTATTGAACTCTACCTTGGTGTGCATCCCATCTTCCTCTACCAAGATGTGTTGGTGCACTCGCTCCATCAGGGCTTCCATAGTAAGAGGTGGCGTCATTGTTATTGAATCTCTCAATTTATGACCTACTAACAGACCTTGTTTGTACTGTGCAATAGCTAGGTTTGTAGGACAATCTGTTACTTGGTTGAAGGTCTCCCAATACCGATTGTCGTAAGACTTCAATGTTTCCTTCTTGCCCATGCTGATGGAGAGAAGCTGGTCAATCTCCACTGGCGTCTTGGTGTTTGTTCTGAATCTGGTTACAAATGCCTCCGTTAGTTGCGCCCATGACGCTATACTACCTTCTGGTAACCTTTCAAACCATGCTAAATCGATGTCGCCAAGGCTGGACGGAAACATGATACACATTAAGGGCTCGTTTCGTCGATACACGACCATAACCTGGCGAAAGTGGCTTAAGTGTATGTAGGGGTCTGACTCCCTCTCATAAGTTATGAATTTAGGCTGATGGAAGCCTAAGGGTAATGGTGCGTTCTCAATTGTCGGGATGAACGGTGAGCTCTGTAACCTTGCTAATGCTTTGTCTGCTGGTTCATAGGCGAGGCGTGGTTCTGGAATTCTAACCTCGACACTCCTATGTGTTCTAGGAGCCAATCGTTGTAGTGCGGAGACTCTGCTGGAGTCACGAGCCTGAGTGTCTTCTCTCCTTCAAGCCCTTTCAGTCTTCTTTCTCTCAAGTCTGGAGTAGCGTGTCCTGGAAGTCTTTGATTGTGTATCACCCAATCTGAGGCTTCTACTTTTAGTTTGTGATAGTGTGACTTGTCTGTCATGATCTTCAGAGTGGCAAGAGTGTGTGTTGCCTTTGCTCCCCTCTTTTGTTGCCACCCCTTTGCTTTTTATCTCGCTCTTCATAAACTCTATGTCAGCCGCTATTCTTCTTATTACTTCGTCTTGCTCCCTCACGCGATCTTCGAGAACCTGATGATCCATTTTCCGCCTCTGTCTATCAGGGCTTCGAGAGCGGTGTGGACTTGAGCCCTGTCTTCTTCTTGTTTCTCTCCGCAGATTCCTTTGCTAGGGATCTAATTCCGCCATGGATGGGATAGAAGGTAAACCTTCGTGCCTCCCCTTCCGGAGTTTGCCCATCTATAGCAGATTGCGGCAAGTCTTCATTGTGCGCCATTGCTTTCAACTAGAGAGGAAAACTTGATCAAGAGGTTTTGCTCTTTGTGAATTTTCCACAGACGGCGCCAATTGTACGGGTACAAAATATTCTTTTCGTATAATCCTGTTGATCAAGTCTGTGCTCCTCCGCACGACGTCGCTTTATTCCCTGAAAACGCAAACATGAGCTAGCCAGCGGGTGTGTGCCGGATACCTCTCCGATGCCTAAGTCAGCAACTAGATAATAGACAATAAGCTCTATGTATTCTAGAGTAAGAATTGGGATACCTGTACAAAGGTCTGGTCATGAACTTTTATAGACTTTACTTTGGCACAATCCTAGTAGGATTCCAACTCTCCCTATGAGAGTCCTCCTAGGAATCACACACCCTACTCACTACCAACCAAGTGAGATGGTTTTGCACAATCTTAGTAGGACTATACTCTCTTTAGCAAAGTCCTCATAGGAGTCATACTCCTACTCACTACCAACCAAGTGAGATGGTTTACACAATCCCAGTAGGACTCTAACTCTCCTTAGCAGAGTCCTACTAGGAGTCTCATCACTGCAAGCCAAGTGAGATGGCTGAACTTTTTATCTCGGTTATACATTCCTGCCCGAACTGATTTATCTCGGTCCCCTGCCCTTCGGACCGTGTGAGCGAAGGCCGATCTAACGGATGCCACCCTGCCGAGCTATACACAGCTCGGCCCTCGCCATTGATGCTACCTCATTTTAATAAGCTGCTGCAACCACACCGAGCTAAGTTACCTCGGTCACACGCTTAAATAATGATGTAGATGGCGCCCGGCCGAGTTATACCAAGACCGGCCAAGTTATACCAAGCCCGACATCCTTTCTCACCAATACCTCGGCTAACCACCAGGCCCACTTATTTCAGCTGACATTTTTACCTTGGCTAACTTTGCGGTCAGCCAAGTTACTTTAGCTCTGTGATACTTTAAGCACTACTACCAGTCTTGACTTCGAGATGACGCCCTGCAGAGCTATCGTTTAGCTCGGTCCTCTTTCTACCGATACCTCGGTCCATAGTTCGGCCCAAACCCAAAATATGAGATGTCTTCTTGGCCTAAGACCGAACTACACCAGCCCTTATTTCAGCCCATTATGCGGTCCAAAGCAGACTCTCCTACCTCGGCCCAATTTGTTTACAAATTAACCTGTCACAAAGTGTTCTTTGATTTCTCACCTTTGTTTGGTCGCTGAGAAAACACTGGAGATTAGATAAACAATAAAAATGTTTACTACGCGTATTAGGTTGTTCAGTGGATCTTGTGTATCTGTAACCTCTCTCTGAATTAGTGTAATTCGTTGGAATTGGACACATCCAAGTTGTTGAATTTGGTTTAGGGTTTTTTGCCTTGATAATTGGTAATTAAACTGTCATATGTGTTTGCGTACTTGATTATTTGTTTGTTTGGGTTGTATTGAATAGCTCTGATGTAGTGAAAATTTGGTATTGTTCTTGAAAGAAGTGGCATAGGTCAGTGGACTAATGGGTACTGATTAAATTTAGGCATCTCCTCAAGATGGGTTTTCTTCAATGACACATTACTACGTGATGTGTATTTTGTTTAGGGGTGTATTTGGCAGCTTCATGATTCTGGAATGCGTCTATTGTGAGCGTGTCATTTATAGTGTGATCAATAAAACAAAGGATTTCATTTCTCCAACTGATAATATTATATCAGTTTTTTGATTTTCAAGATAATGGCTAATTGCCTATGCAATTTAGCATCATATCATCTTCTGATGAAGATGCCGTCCTTTATATTTGTGTACATATATATTTACTGATGAATATGCATGGGCCTGGGTTTCGAATGATAGATTTGTTATTTGAAATTACGGCGACCTATTTAAATCACATTCCAGTGTGCCAATGAGAAACTAAAATCTGGATAATGCCCTTTATTTTTTATTTCAATTGATTTTTCTTATATTAGATTGGTTGACCCACCTTATTTTTCACATGTAATGTATATTCAAGCAATCTCTAATTGAACTTAATAATGTACTATGCAACATATATTGCATGTTTTGACACACCTGGTATCATCATTATGTATAGATTAGACCAATAACACGGCTCTTTCCTTTCTTGTTGTTGATGCAGGATTAAATACTACAATGGTTGTTTATTTCACACGGTTCAAAAGGATTTTACTGCCCAAACTGGTGATCCTACTGGAACAGGGACTGGTGGTGATTCCATCTACAAGTAAGTGAACTGGCACATTTTAATTACCAATGTAAAATGTTTCTAACTCTATCCATGGTTCCAGCTATCCATTGTCTTTCACAATGATAGATAAGACTTGCACCATAGTGTTTATTTCCTCTAATTATGCTTTAGTTTCAGATGCATATCAAAACCTCTTCCAAACTACAATAACAGTCTTTAGAATCCTCATTGAGCTGTTCTATTAGTCTATCCAATTTAACAGTTAGATCAGTGACTGTGTAATGATGTGACATGTTGATTTGGACATCCTATACTTTCAGGTTCTTATACGGTGATCAAGCTTGCTTTTTTGGGGATGAAATTCGTTTGGAATTAAAACACACCAAGATGGGCACTGTTGCCATGGCTAGTGCTGGAGAGGATCTTAATGCTTCACAAGTACTGTTTTTTTTTTTTCTTATAAGGATTAGAACTTCCAAAATGTTTTATTTTTTATTTGCCCTTGTCTGATTTAGTCCCAAGTTTTATTCACTAGATGTGGATAACGCTTCACATCTACCAGGGGATTCACTTCTGATACATAATATTCCCCAATTATAAAATAGTCTGTTCAACTTATTTCTCCAACTATTTTTTTTTTTGAGTTTCTTTTGATATTTTATATATGTTTAAATTTAACTTGTGAATTGATGCAGTTGTAGTGACAAAATTTTGGACATATGACATTTATGAGATCACAAAACTCTTTTTTGTTACAGTTTTATATCACACTGCGTGACGATCTTGACTATCTTGATGGGAAGCACACTGTGAGTTTCCTAATCCGGAATTCTTAATAGTTTTTGTTTTAATATTTTTCCATTAATCAAATAAAGGATGTTGTTTCCATGTTTGCCTTAAAACTCTTTTTGTTTGAATGGTTGTAAAAGCTGTGACTCGCTCACAACTTAAGGATGTTCTTGTATGATTTTGTTGATTTGCAATTTGACATTCTCAACTATTTTCCATGAAAAGGGTTGAGTTAATTAGATGGACACTTCCTCACGTATCATTGAACGTCACTTTACCCCCTTCAAGTCCAAAACCATGCATTTTGCCCGTCAACTATAAAAACTATACAACTGTCCCTCTTCTAGAGTGGTGAAAGTGATGCAATTTTAAAGCTGAGAGGGTCCAAATGTATGGTTTTGAAATTGAGAGCGTAAAATGGTTACTCTGCGAGGTGTCTCAATAATTAACCCAAAGTTTTGTCGCTGGTTTATGTAAATTATGGTCTTCAGGAAACTTTGTAATAATTTTTACCCTTCTATCATAAAGAAATGATGAGAATGAATTGTGAGAGGTAATGCAAAGACTAATGCTTCTAAAGGTCCCCCCCTTAGAAGCAAGTCAGCACTTTTATAAAGGAAAACTTAAAACTTAGGAACACATACAAAATGCAAGCACAACCAAGAAGTGAGATGGTTAAAACTCAAGGCAACAAGTTTCATTTCTTTGGTGTTCTTGTGGATAGAATAGAAGTACACAAAAAATTACCCGGTCTTTAAAATCAACATATCTGTACTTTATTATAAAACAAACATGCCGTTTGGTGGGTTGAAGTTCTCACACACTGTAGTATTCCCATAATAACCCACAACCACCAATTGGCGTAGATTTGTGCAGTAGCTGTGAATTTTCACAGGCATTATAAAACAAACATGCCACTTGACGTGGGTCAGTAAATGCTCGTTTTCCATTCTCCTTTGAAGGAGATCCTTGTCTCCTATGGTTTTGTGTGATAAAATCTTAAATTCTTTGATGAATTTTTTCATATTTGCAGGTTTTTGGGGAGATTGCAGAGGGGCATGAAACACTTCAGAGGATAAATGAAGCTTACGTGGATGATAAAAGCAGACCATACAAAAATATACGGTGCATTCTCACACCTTTTGTATTTGGTGATGTTATATGTTGACTAGTAACTAATGAATACGATGCTTTAACAGAATCAAACACACTTACATATTAGATGATCCTTTTGACGATCCTTCACAACTATCTGAGTTGATTCCAGATGCTTCTCCTGAAGGAAAACCAAAAGATGAGGTAATGAATGACTTGCAGATTCCATTGATTTCCTGAACTTTTGAGGCAGTTTGAAACCAAATGGAAAAATAAAATTGATGCCTCACTAATTTGATCACAGAAGTTACTTACTTATATGTAATATATAACCGAATTCCCCAAAAGGATCATGAAAAACAGGAATGATATTCCTTTTGGTAAATTGCAAGGATGCTTTGTTGATTGAAATGCAAAGAGACTTACTCTATTTGATCTTAAGAATAAGAACACTAGTATCAAAAGCAAAAACCAGAATGTGATGATTTCATCTTTATTTGTGTTTATAAGCACCTTTTTCTGTTAGCTGGTTTAGCCTCTTATTGAACTCTGTCTTTATTTTTAGTGTTAACATAAAATAAGGTCATTTTTAGGATGGTCTGAACTGGATTTGAAGATTGAAGTTCTTTTCAAGCTTGATGTGCATGATGCCATGGTTCATTGCATGGTTTTCTCTTTCTTAAAACCAAAACATTAATTTATATGGATGGGTCTAGGCAAACAAATTATGGCAAGTAACCTTAAATGCCAACACAGACAAGATATTATGATTAGTATAATGTATATAAATTTGTGTCAAATTGGTCACTTTTACATGCTATTTCTGTAATCTATTCTGGGTTCTTTTCTATAAGGTGCCTTTTTGACATTTGTTTTCCTTCATGATCATAATTATTTAATTACGTTGTGATCAGGTTGAAAATGATGTACGACTTGAAGATGACTGGGTGCCCATGGATGAGCAATTAGGTGCATCGGAGCTTGAGGAGATTCTCCGTACGAAAGATGCACATTCCAGTGCAGTAGTGCTTGAGAGTGTAAGCATTTTATATGCTATCTCATCTAGTAATTGCAGTCCAACTTGAACATTTTCATTAAAGTCATGTTCTTATTTGCGTCACAGATAGGGGACATTCCGGATGCTGACATAAAGCCTCCTGACAATGTGCTGTTTGTTTGTAAACTAAATCCAGTAACCGAAGTGAGAGCTTGTTATCTTCTCATTTGTCACTGATTGTGGAGCCTACTGTGCTATAATCTTGAAGATGCTAATGTGTTCTGTATGCTGTTTCTTTATTGCAGTTTGTTATCATAAAATCCTGTATTCATCTGCTTTTTTAATTTGAAATGCAGGATGAGAACTTGCATACTATCTTTTCACGTTTTGGAACTGTGATATCATAATTTCCAAATGCTTGGAATTTCTTTCTGTTTTATTTTTGTACTGCAAAATTTATTGCTCATGATAAATAAATGTTGGCAGCGCTGAAGTTATCCGGGATTATAAAACTGGAGACAGCTTATGCTATGCCTTCATTGGTGAGTGTTATTGTACTTTATTATTGTTAATATTTCCCATCCTCTCTGTTCCGTCTCTCTCTCTCTCTCTCTCTCTACCAGCCTTTGAACCCCTGACCTGAGGCTTGACAAGTCATACTCATGGTCAATATGCACGAGGCCAGCCAGTTTTATTAATGTTACCTTTTTATGTTTTTTCTTTAGGATTTTTAATTAATCTCCTTTTGGTGGTGCATGTGGGATGGCAAAAATGTCAGCACATTTTGGGTTCCCTTCTGTGATGTTTTGTCTTGCTTTTGTTTTATTTCTGAGCTTGAGTTATTTAGAATACTGTGATTATCAAAATTGACTTTTAACTTATGTTGGCATGCAAGTCATTGTGAAAACAAGATTTAGACTTTAGGAAACACAACATGAACAGATGTGGAATCAGTTTGCACATTAGATGTGGTTAGTTTGGTTGGAGCATAATCGACGAACTTTTCAAGAGATTCACCATAGTGTTTCTTGGCTTGAGAGTCGCCTTCTTATAGTTTTGTATAGTTGGATGGAACGGAAGTTTGATCCTCATTTGTTTGTTTTTTTAGATTTCCTAGACGACATTCTTGGTTAGGAGTTGGTAATTATACTTTTGTAGTCTTGTTTTTGTTGCATCATCTTGATGCTCCTTCAATAAAATTATTTATTTATCAAAAAAAGAGGTATTAAAACCTATCACCTACTTCACCCACTTAAACCTACTCCACTAAACCTCACCCACTACACCACTACCACCTCACCTACTCCACTAAACCTAACCCACTACACCACTACCACCTCCACCTACCACCTACTACCACCTACTCTTCTATTTTAATGCTTTGATTGCTTTCATGCTGGCGCATGTGAAAAGATCAAAAACACCCAAATGGAAGACTTAAGGAAATATTGTGTTAAAACCTACTGTTAAAACCTACCATCACCTACTCCACCTACTACACCTACCACCACCTACTACCACCTACCACTACCACCTACTCCACCTACTCCACTACATCTCCTATATAAGGAGCCCCTTACCATTTGTAATACATAACATACATCAATCAATAAACACATTCAATACATAAATCAATATACATAATTCATTCTATCTGTATCTCTCTCTATCAATTTATCTTACATGGTATCAGAACTATAGGTTAAAGATCTTGGTGTTCTTCGCCTTCCGGCGGGCGGCAACCTTGCCTTGACCGCCCGCCGGATCTCAACCAATTCACTGAAACACACTACCATGATCATCACTCAATCAATTCACAGACCCACCCATCAGCGTCACCCGAGTCGGCAACGGTAGCTTCGGAAGCTACCCTTCTTCCATCATCATCGCCCAGCGATGGTGGCAGGTCCAATTCCTCCAACCACCCTCCATTTCTTGCAATCCGCTAGCCTCGGGTACCCGCCGTCACTGCTGCAGTCACATTTCTTCATACACTTGGACCGTGATGTCCCGCCCCACAAGCACCTTGCCATGCACCTCAACATCAGCACACAGGGTGGACAACCGTTCTTCAACCGATCAACGATAGTAGCCCCATATACACAGCAGCTATGGTGGTGGTAGACAACCTCCTTTTCTTCTTCATTTTTCACTGCTAAAGGTGTTATACAGCCACAACGCCACAATTTATCTCTCTCTAGTGGTGCCGCAGGACGAACCACCACGCACATCTATCTCTCTCTAGTCTATTATCAAGGAGCTTTGTGCTGTTATCCAGGAGGAGAGCTCTCTCTCTCAGCCTCATCTCCGAATCTATCTCTCTCTCTCTCATATTTCCACTTTCATCTCCGAATCAACCCACACTCTCTCTCTTATCTCTTTCTCGGGTTGCATTTTGCAAGGGGAAGCTGAGCATACACACAGAGCTTAATACACACACAACCCACTCACATTTTTCGATGCTCTCTCTCATCACAGATTCACGCGGGGTTATGACCATCTCTCTTTCACTCTCTCTCTCTCTCAAATCCGGGAAACAGATTTTCTCTCTCTCACTCTCTACTCAAAGACATCCACCAGGGTGACCACTTTCCAACCCATCCATCCACCAGCGTTGTTCTCATTTTTTATTTTTATTTTATTTATTTTTATTCCTTTTTCGTTCTCTCAGTGCTTAGTCCACCAACTCACTCTCCCTCTAACATAATCATTCTCCACCGAATTGGACACCCAATGATGGAGCTATATTGTATTAAAAAAAAACATTTTCCACCCACCACACAACCTTTCACAGCCACTCTGCACTCAAATAATTTCCCACCACCCCACACCAGCACTCACTTCCCTCTTTTATTTATTTCTTTTAACCACTTTTCCCCGGAAAGTGAGCCAGCCCTTTTCAAATAATTTTCCATTACCTTTTTATTTATAAAAAAAAAAAAAAAAACAAAACAAAACAAAACAAAACAAAACTACATTCATTCCAGTTGATTTTTCTGCCTTACCACACCTCCCATTCGAGTTTGCACAACAATCCATCTTTTATTCATCTCAGGGATCAACCCCGATCAGCATTTTACACCACAAAAAAAAAAAAAAAAAAAAAACAAAAAAAAAAAAAACAAAAAACAAAAAACAAAAAAAAAACAAAACAAAACAAAACACACATCCACAGGCAGAATTTTTTCTTCTCTACTCTGCCGCTGGTCTCTTCTTCTTGCCTCCGTCCTGGGCGGCCCTTGACGATGCTGCCTCCGTGTTTTCCACGCCGCCGAGCACGTTCACTCCCCCATACTCCTCCACTGTAGCATATGGCGGACCTCCAAATCGGAACATCACGGTGGCCTTCCGCTTCAGCTCCTTATTTTCCGCTTTTAGCACACTTATCTCTGCTTGCGCATCCTTATACATGCGTTGGAGCAGAGCCAGTTGGGCGTTTAACTGCTGCACCTCATTTGTCCTACTCTGCAGCCGGTGCGCCAAGTTTGTGACCGCAGTCATGGTCTCCACACATGACATCAATGTATACTGATTGGCCTCATTATCAGTTTGCACCGCCATTTTTTGCTCCACAGACCGCATCGGAAAGTTCAACGGAGCAAAACCGGAGGTGTTTGGTTGAGGTTCACAGGCCACCGCACCAGTTATCTCTCTTGTTGCCTCGTTGAGGTCGGGAAAGAGAGTGAGCAGACCACGGGACGACGAAGCCATTTTCTGGGCCACAGAGTGTTACAGAATCTCTTTCTCAGAAACGGAAGAGTTTTTTTTCAAAGGATTTTCGCAGGTTTTTTTGTCTCAGCCTCAGCCTCAGCCTCAGCCTCCGTCTTGGTTAAATAGCCAAGGCAGCCACGCGCATCATGCGTCGCTCGGCGCTCGACGACAAACTGGGCGCGCCTTTTGATGGCACGCCTTTTGATGGCACACCTTTTTATGGATTGGGCACGCCTTTTGATGGCACGCCTTTTGAAAGATTGGGCACACCTTTTGAGGGTGCGACTTTTTAGGGGTCCGACAAGACTCTGTAAACTGTCCCGACATTGATTCCGGTTAGCTCCTTCATGGGTCCGACAAGACTCTGTAAACTGTCCCGACATTGATTCCGGTTAGCTCCTTCATGGGTCCGACAAGACTCTGTAAACTGTCCCGACATTGATTCCGGTTAGCTCCTTCATGGGTCCGACAAGACTCTGTAAACTGTCCCGACATTGATTCCGGTTAGCTCCTTCATGGGTCCGACAAGACTCTGTAAACTGTCCCGACATTGATTCCGGTTAGCTCCTTCATGGGTCCGACAAGACTCTGTAAACTGTCCCGACATTGATTCCGGTTAGCTCCTTCATGGGTCCGACAAGACTCTGTAAACTGTCCCGACATTGATTCCGGTTAGCTCCTTCATGGGTCCGACAAGACTCTGTAAACTGTCCCGACATTGATTCCGGTTAGCTCCTTCATGGGTCCGACAAGACTCTGTAAACTGTCCCGACATTGATTCCGGTTAGCTCCTTCATGGGTCCGACAAGACTCTGTAAACTGTCCCGACATTGATTCCGGTCATCGGTCTGACACAACCATCCAGTGTCCTCTACAACGTTATGACACCACCATACAGTGTCTTCACCATCGGTCTGACACGACCATACAGTGTCTCCTATCCTCTTTTCTTTTATGTATTCGTCTATTTTCTTGTTTTGTTACTCTCTCCAAACTCAAGTTGGCTAGTTCCTATCCCCCTTGAGTTTGCGGGGGGCTATTAAAACCTATCACCTACTTCACCTACTTAAACCTACTCTACTAAACCTCACCCACTACACCACTACCACCTCACCTACTCCACTAAACCTAACCCACTGCACCACTACCACCTCCACCTACCACCTACTACCACCTACTCTTCTATATATATGAATCATTGTAACATTCAATACATCAATCAATAATACATACAATTTATTCTCTCTCTATTTCTCTTTATACATTAAAATTTACAAGAGGGAAGATATTTGTGAAGTGAGCAATTACAAATGAGTATCTTTCTTTTCATTTTAATAAAATGCTTTGCAATAGCGAGCAGTTTTGCATAGGAGAAAATGGAAAACAAAATGAAAATCCAAAGAGAAAAGAGGGATTAATATATATATGTTCTGTTTTTCACTAGGGAGCATTATTTTTAAAGGCTCAGTTGCAACCTAGTTTGCTTAAGCTGAAACTTGTTCCATTAGAAAGTGAATTGGGAAACCCTCTAGTTCATACTAGTTTGAATATTTTGGAATGTTTTGGCCTATTCAAATTACTTGGTGCGATGGTGTATTCAACCTGTTTTCACTAGTTTCCACCCATTTGTATTTACAGGGAGATAACAAATCTAATTTGAAGTTAGAATTGTTTCCGTAAAAAAATCAGAAATACCGAAAAAAGAAGAAAATGTTACTTTGTGCGCTCAAATTTCTTTACATCAGGAAATGCTGGCAGTGATTTGGAAAAAGGTTTCTCCCAACCTGTGGGCAACTTTTTCACTGCATTGGCAAAACCTAATAATCATGGATGTCAAGGTTCCTCTTTCCCCTCTCTCTCTCTCAACGGTTTTCCACATGGTCTAGATATAGGCAAACTGATGTGCTTCTGATCGTTAATTCTCTTACTCGCTTTTCCTTTTTGTTGATGTAGAATCATCATACATCTGATGATGTAACCTGACTTTTTTCCTATTCTGTTTCTGACAGAGTTTGAAATGAATGAGGAACGAATGAGGCTTGTGAACAAGCATACTTTAAGGTATGCTGAACAACTGGATTGTTTTAATCCCATGCTTTGAATCTGTTCTCTGCTTGCATAACTTGTCACCCTCATATGTTTATCCATGTATCTAGTCATGCAGGTTCTATTATATCATTCTTGCATGCTATGACTAATAATGAATCTACAATGACAGTTAATTGCCATAGCAAGCAGTCTTAGGGTTTTACTTGATAAAAGGAGAGTGCTGCATTCTTGTTTCAAGCATGCAGCTATGTTCTTAATTCTAGTTTGTAATAATAGCTAATCTGTTGAATTGCTTTGGCCAAGTGGTGGCAGAACTGGTTTTTCTCACCTTGATTTATTCAATTTTTATGACAGATGGACAATGCTTTAATTGATGATCGAAGGATACATGTGGATTTTAGTCAAAGTGTTTCAAAATTGTGGTCCCAATACAGACGCAGAGATAGCCAAATGGCTAAAGGTAAGATGCTACTATATTCAATCAGTGAATGGATGTACTGGGGCATGGATTGTCGTGTTGGAGTAATTTCTATAGTTTCTTGGATCAGCAGCTTAGCATTATTTGTTTCCACATAGAGCATCATGCAGGTTTTTGACTACCTGGTGTGTAGTAGTTAGCCACTAATTTTTCCTCATCATAATGTTTCTGCACCTAAGCATTACATGTTTCAAAAAGTATATTATTTCTATCTGTTGCTTTGATTTTGAGTTGTGAGGTTTGTATTTGGTTTTTGGTTTTTGATGTCTGTAAACCCAAGGTTTGTGTGGGATTCATCTTCTGTTAGTTTAACACTTCTCTGCTGTTCTCTTATAAAGTTTATAGTACGGTACCCAACCTATGGTTGTGTTTCCATTGCAGCCAAGTTACTTATGATAGTTCATGTTGAAAAGTGCTTGTTCACTGAGGCAACTAACTATATTTGATAGGTTTGTCGAGGCAAATGTGATACTTAACTTTCAGGAGCCCAGAAGTTCATTTGTGTTCTTTGTTCCTTCTTCACGGGCATAGTTTCATTCTTGCTTCACTGCTTGTATCTTGTATATGGAACTCCAATACCCCAATTCCGTTTTATCCCTGGAACTTTTCTTAATCCAGGGAAGCATTTGACTATTTGTAATCATTTTGGTGCAGGAAAAGGTTGTTTCAAATGTGGTGCTCCAGATCACATTGCTAAGGATTGTACAGGGGATCCCTCCAGCAAACAGCAACCTCCAAAGTACACGTTAAAAGAGGATAACAATCAGCGAGGTGGAGACGATAACTCGAGGTTAGTAATTTTGTTTGTGGTTATGAATATCTCTCTCTCTTTCTCTCTCTCTACATTTTTTTGCCGTCAGTGATAATTTTATTGAAACAAGAAAAAGCATACACAACTCAAAAGGGGCGTACCACTTAACAACCAAACCAACCAACAGACTTATCTCCCACCATACTTGAAGAAACAGAAATCAAAAGATGACTCCCTTTCTCATACATTGAAATATAAATTTTCAGGTATGAGATGGTATTTGATGAGGACACTGCTAGAAGTCCACACCAAGAAAAGAAACGTAGAGACTACGAAATAGAAGACAACATTGAGAAACGAAAGGTTGAACGCCGAAGTTCAGAGGATCTTAAGCAAAGGGAATATGAGAACTCCTGTGACAGGCAAAGGCACAGTGACAGAAGTAGAGAATACAGGGATCATGAGAGGAACCGCGAAAGTAGAACTAGTCAGTCCAGTGGAAGCCAGAGGGACTATAAGTATCATGAAGAGAGAAGAGATAGAGAAAAGTATACGGAGAAACGTGGGCATAAAGATGACAGCCGGAGAGATGACCGGGAATATAAGAAGCGAAATGAGAATGAGCGAGAGTATAGAAAAAGAAGTGTGGACAATGATAGCCGCGGAAGTGGGAGGGATGATGAAGGTCATAAAAGGTTAAATGTTGATAATCATAGAAGAGACAAAAGAGATGAGTTGAACAGGCCGGGTGATCGCGATCGCGATCGTCATAGAAGGCACTGAGGTGATGGAATGAGATGACCACCTTTCATATGATGGATGGTATGTGATTGAAATCGGAAAATGTTTGAGATGATCACAATATATTTTCACACCATAATGACTTTATCATTCTTGATTTGATATCAGCTAAATGTACTGACTGTGGTTCTGGGCATTTTGCCTGTGGGTATGGAACAAACGTGGAAATGACTTTAACATCACACCCCCTTGGATTATGTTGTTCATACATGTGCCTTGGCCATTTTTATTTTGTTATCTATCTTACTGTCATGCATGTTGCCTCTATATCTGGTCAACCACACAATAATTATGTGATGCATTTGCTTATCAGGTTGCTTACAATGATTTTGTTGCCGCTGGTTCATTTGCGGCTGCAAGGGAGAAAGGGCTTGTAAGTCGTTGCCTTACTTTTAGCTTATACAGATTCACATGCTGTTTTAGCTTTTGCTCACTTCACAAAGCACATATTGTTTTAGCCCCATGCATGAAAATTTACTCGTGGACAAGGCCATCAGAAGTTCTCTTGTACTTGTGAATCAGAAGTAAATGTAACTTGGAGCTCCTGGAAAGTGGTTTTGTGGAAATATTTCACTGTCAACCAAAAAAGTTGAAAATTCACATGTACCCCCCAAAAAAGTTGAAAATTCAATCTGCATTAGAACTTTAATGCTGCTTCTCTTCATTTCAGAAAAGTTCTCAAGATTTTATGCTGTACTCTTTGTAGTTATTTTTAAAATACGTGAAACTTCACTGGCCCTGAGGTGGCTTTACACCCGGGCTGTATCACCTTTCCAAAAATCACATTCATATGCCAGCAGCACACTACTATTTATCTGGGAGAAGTTTATCCAGATAAACAGAAGAGAATGAAAAATCGAGGATAGTTTGAATTGACATTTTGTAAAATCCATGCTACCATGTAATTTGGTAATACACACATGTACACTATGCTCTCACATGCATAAAGTGGCTCAGCCACCACCAACACCACCTAGGACTCTCTTGCAAGATCAAGGTGATTTGCAATAACTATTTGGATCATGCAGTTGAGATCAGAGGGAAAAGAGTATATTGTACAAGAAGGGGATGTGATGCTGTTTCGTTTCAATGTCTGATCAGAACATTGGGGAATGCTGGAACTTGTTATTTTGCCCAATCAAGCTAAGTTGTATTTTGAGATGCATAGCCCAATTCATTTGAAGGTCATGGGGATTTTCAGAAGTGGAGATTGTCTTAAATTTGATAGCCAGTGCTTACTTCATTGAGTTTACATAATCTCAAATTGTTTTAAGGTGAAGAGTCATAAGTTTTGCTTGTAGAGAACTTAATTGGTTCATTTATCTTGTCAGTTATATTATATATTATAAATTTTTTACAAGAAAAAGGGAAGAGTCCAGGCGATGTGAACTCTGTGATTTTAGCATCTCTCATTGTTGTATCAATTTTTTCGTTTTAATTCTTAAATTACCTTAAATACATTTTGCAGAAGGTTATTTTGATGTGGAGGTGTGTAGAGCCTCTTATTCTACTGTTCCTAGTCTTCATTTCCTTGTTATTGACTCACCAATTTTTATCATCTAATCTGTTCAAATCCGCTCACCTTTTCAAACTGCCCAAGTTGATTTGAATGAGTTGGAGAGTTTGAGTCGGTGCAAGTTGATGAGTAGACAGTTTTTTTGCACCTGTAGCTTCAACATTGCAAAAATCAAGTAAAGATTGGTGCAGGGTTGAAGGTGAGGTGTCCTAATCAGTAATTGATGGCATCATTTGTGTTGATTTTGCTTTCCCAAATGACCGAAGAGAAAGGATAGGATGGGTGGGGTTATCTTTCTCTATTCTTTTTGTTCTTAATAAATAATTTTGTTTGGTTGATTTGATGGTTGATGCTTTTGCTTCTAAGCAAGCACTATGCTTTGCTGTTTTCACTGTGAAGCTAAGCTGGAAAACAAGTTTCATTATAGTTCCCATATAATTTAAGCTGGAAAACCAGTTTCTTGTATTTTTTAATGCCAGAAATCGAAAATTAGATTTGTCACCTGAATTGTACAAAAAAATTCGACTTTTTTGCACTTTCCACCACTCCCATGTTAAATGTAGAAAAGGATTTATTTATTTATTCTTTCCCAACTTCTTTCTAATTTTAGGGGTTGTTTGGGGTGTCTTAAATAAGTATATTTTTTTGTCTTTTTGGATTAAAAAATTGAGGAAAAAAGTATGGATGTTTGGGTTAACTTTTTGACTTTTTATGAAAAAATATGTATTAAAAAATTGTAAAAATTGGTTTGTAGTTGTAAAAATTAATTTGTAGGGAAAAATTAGGATCGGGAGTTATGCAGCCGTAATTGTTGATTTTTGGTGAATAGTATTAATTTTTTAACTTTTGAGTAACTTTTTGACTCTTTCTTATCTTCCCAAACTTGGCCTTAATATCCAAACATAACCTAAAATAAACTATTGGGAGACAGAAAGTGTACTAATGTTCAGTACCACACCCCTTGTGTCTCTTCTATGTATTTTTTGTGTATGGAATAATACTGTTTTCAATAGGTTCTTGTTTTTCAATGAAGAATGGGCAAATAACATTTTGCCCATCAACTAATGTGCAATTGATCCTAACCATTAGGCAGGATCCCATCAACTAATGTGCAATTGATCCTAACCATTAGGCAGGATCTTAGGTTGCAAAATTTTTTTCTTTTAGATTGAGCCTAAATCTTGAAATAATTTTATTTATTATTATTATTTTTACAAATTTGAAACCCAAACACAATAATATTTTTTATTTTAAGAAAAGTTCAGTAGATGAAAATTAATAAGATAAATATGGTTCTCTTGTTTAGGTCATTACTGTGGTAGAATCATTATACCTTAGTTTAGGTGACAAAATTGTTTTTATTTTTTTTTATTTTTTATTTTTGTGACAAAAACATGAAACCCAACATTATTTTTGAAACAATAGAAAACCAAAATCCATAGTCCAAAATAAATGAAATAAAACATTTCTCCAAAGACGCTGATTAATTTCTCAATCACTCCGGGGTTGCACCCAATTTTACTAGGTCACATACCATGTCATGAACATGCAAGTAATTTTAGGAGGTCACACACCAAGTCATGAACATACAATTGGCGGCTGTCTGTGCTGGGTTGGACTGATAAATTATTAATTAAATAAGTGGCTCTTTGATTAATTTATAAAAAAATAAAATAATGGAAGAATCATGTGAGCGAAAATATTTAGGTATATGTGATTGTTTTGGAAAGGTACTAAAAGTTGGTTTTTTTTTTTTTTCTGAAAAAATATGAAACAAAAAAAATAATATAATTTAAAATAAGTTAAAAATTAAAAAATGACTTTTAATTATCTCCCAAAATAGTCCAAAATTGTGAACGTGCATAGCTCTTGTCACCTTTACCATTAATGGCCGATGCAGTTTTTCCAGCTTCCACTCCATTGGTGGGACATTAATACACACGTTGTCATTTGGTGTTACATAGTATATACTAAAAATTATTAATTTTAATACACATATATATATATATATATTCTTTCAAAAATTATTTGATGTTTTTAGAGGAAGATTATGTGATGATTCAATTAGATAATGTTGTTAATTTAAATTATAAGATTCTTTACTTTAATATTGATATTTTGAAAAATGATATTTGGTTCATAAATCTAAATTGTAAGTCCATGTTTCGAAGCACTTAAAACCAGGCATATGGCTAACATAGCTTGCATAAAATAACAATTTCGAACTAACCAATCTTGCTTCGAGGCCTGGCTCGGGTATTTTGAAGCATGAAATTTCTCTTAAGAACGGCCATATTTGTCTTCGAAGGGTCTTATATAAGCGAAAGTGTAAAATAAGTCCTTTGGCCTTTGGACTTTCTATACTGCTTAACCAATAACTGGTTCCATAGTGCTTATCTATGCTGAAAGAATAGGCCAGAACCATATTCTAACCATAGGTCACTACAAAGAACCCTTCGAAGGAAACTTCCTTTGTTTGGAAAGTCTAAAAGTGCGCCTCCAAGATTCCTGAAAGTGAACAAATCTTAACTATGCTTGAATTCAAGGTATAAGACTAGCTTCAAAGCCAACTACCTATTTTCAAAGCTAAGCTAAGTATTTGAAAACTGACTTCGAACCCGACTAACAATTTTCAAAGCTAAGCTGGATGTTTGAAGTATATTTCCCTCCTTCATAAGGTATCCACATACTAGCTCGGAGATAGTTTTCTTCCTTGTTTTTCTTAGGGATTTTAAAATAAAAGCTTTAATCACACATGGGTTAGAACCGAGGTCCATTTAACCCATTATATTAAATGGGTAACTTTGGACAAAAAGGTTTAAAACCCCCTCTTTTCGCGCTTTATCTACACACTTGTCCAAAGTTTCACTCCTGTTACCCCTATCTGCAACTCTTTGCCCTTCCGCTCACTTCCTTCTTTCAATTCCTTGCTAATGGCTTCTTCTTCCAAAATACCAGTCGTCGAGATTGTGAGCCCATCTGTGGCTTTGAGGAGAATCATCAAAGAATAATGTGACAAATACAAGGCCGATGAACGGTATGCTATCGATGGGAGTATCTTTATTCCCCGACACCATGCTCAAGGGGAGTTTGTTCTTGGACCCATTTTTAGAGAAGCTCCCACCCAACTCACTGCTTTGTATCCGCGCTTAGAGGATCAATGCCTCATTTACAAGGGTGGCCTTGATTGGGGAAGTTGGAAAATAAACCGTCCCCATCGCTCCTGGCCCACATTGAGGCCGGAATGGGAAGAATGGTACGACCGCGTCGTTCCTGCTAGGATGCTGGACCTCAAAGAACTCTGTCTCCTCGACGCCCTTCGACTAGCTAGGTTTTCCATTCCTGAAGACCCTTTTCTCATACATGTTGCTCTTTGTTTTTGGAACCCCGCTTTCAATTTTTTTCAATTTCTTTCAATTTCGGTATGGCATGATGGCCCCCACTGTCCTTGACATGTGCCGTCTTCTAGGGTTATCACCCACTGGTACTCCATTCGGAACTGATTATCTTGATATTAATGTTTCCTTCTCTATTCCCCCTCTGATTTCTTCCTCTGGTGATTTTGTGAAGTCTGAGAATAAAAAGGAAGGTCCTGTGACCGATAGGGAGTTCTTTTCTTTTCTCTTATATTGGCTCTACAAATTTCTATTCTGTACCTCCTCCCAGAGGATTATGCCTGAATTCGCCTCTCTTGCCAAGGCTCTTGCTTCGGCTAAGAAGATATCTTTAGTTCCTTATGTACTGGGTCATGTATATAGAGCTTACTCTCAGTTTTGTGAGAAACCCCTCGATGCTAACCAAGGAGGACCACTTTGGGTGTTGCAACTCTGGCTTTTTTCTTACTTCACTGACTTATATTCCAGGTGCTTGAGATTTTTGGTGCAAGACCCTACCACTTATGGAATGAAGTATGCCAGAGTTTCACTCTATCTTTCTAGCTTTGATTATTACATTACTTTCTTCCATCAACTTCCAGCTTCCCCCCTTTCCACCTTCTTCTACCTTTCTGCGGCTAACACAGGGCCAACATGGCTGAGGACTTTCCTGGCTAACAACACCTGCTCCAACCCCATTTACAGGGATATGTGGGCCTTAATTTTGATTCCAATGGAGCTCTACATTGGTACCTTGAACTTTTGAGCTTATAAGTGTATTGCTGAACGCTATTGCCCTGCCCAATTTGCTAGGCAATTTGGGCTTACTCAAGGAATTCCTGTCCCTCTCTGCAGCTGAACTAACCCCAATCTTGCAACCAGAGAGCTGAAGGTGCCAAGAACCAGGCTAGATGAGGCAACTTCCAAGTTGATGTAAGACTTGGTTGAATTCAGGTCCCTTCATCTCACACAACATTGCATTGAGGAGGTACTAGAATTGGTAGATAGCCAATATGGAGGTGCTCCTGGCTATCTCTCTTTGGGATCTGTTAGTAGGACTAGACGTGTCCTCTCAAGCTAAGTCCAAAGAGACCGGGACCACTACTATTGCCTCCACTACCCCTGTCATCCTAACTCTTACTCCTGTTTTCTCTGTGTCTGCTCCTACTGCCTCACCTCATCCTCCAATAATTACTAGAACTACCTCGAAGAAAGACATGCATTTCCATTTTCCCTTTCTCTTTCTTTTGTGATGCCTTACTTATTTACTTATAGCTTCTATTCTTAGTGCAGGAGCTCTATAGGAAGACTCTCTTCAGAGAGCTCAAGCTTTGAGCATTCTTGAGGGTTAGCAGCAACAACAGAGAAAAAGGAAACTCTTGCTTGATCCTGAAGAAGAGGTGCCTGAAACTCCTACAGAAGAAGAGGAAACAACAAAGGAAAAAGAAACTGAACTTAAGAGGAGGAAGAAAATGACAGTTTCTCCTTCTGATTTTTCCCAGAACCCTACTCATGAGGTAGCTACCAAGACAGTGGAGCAAGAACATTCCAAAGAAGTTATTGTTTTCCAAAGGTCTGAGAAAGAAGGCAG